ATATTTGATCCCATTACAGTAGACTTAGAATGGCTATTGGGACCCCAACCTTCCTTGGATCACCAATCGCTCTATACTCAGAGGTACAATGACATAACAAAACATAGACAAAATAGATACACTAATGAGGCACGGTGTCCCTGGCCTTTAGGAGGTACACAGAGTGACCACAGGAAATGGTGAGGGTGGACTGGTGGCATGGTCAGGGTTCAGGAACAATACATTTTCAGAAAACCGCAGAGGAACACATCCGGGTCAACCAGTGACCTGACTGTCTGCTCACTGCAGCTTCTGAGTGGGACAGGATTTGCCACAGTTGCTGTGCTATCTTGCTTGGAGGCGCTAGAACTTCTCAGACTGTTGGTCTTGGCTCTGGCCATTGACTTAAAGATCAATCTGGCCCCAAGCCAGCCAGGGGTCTCAACAAAGTCGTGTAGGCCTACGACAGACTCCCAATTGATTTTTGTGCCAATTTATTAATATTAATTATTGCCCGCTCTGTACCACATCAAGCTGGTCCTCAGCAAGTGACTACCTAAAATATTAGTATTGTTGCCCAAATTATTAAGTTGAGTATAATTTCAGGATAGTTGTCACAGAGGCCTTAGGACTCTTGATTTAAACTGTTTTCAGAGGCTCTGACCTGCACACCAATCTCCGAATACTAAAATTGGCTTGGCGAAGTGTAGCCAGCCACCTGGAATCTAGAAGTCTTTTTATGAGCTGAAACTTTTAACAGTATCAAAACTAAAACTAGATTTAGAACTGTAGAATGTCATTGTTAAAGATACCTAGGTCAGGAAGGGTGTTTCTGGTCAGAGTTTATGGTTTCAACAGTACTTGGTTTTTGTATTGAGTATAGTAAGCTGCATAATTTGCTAGTAATACAGCAACATAGAACATGCACAGAAAGGGAATGTGCACCCGCCAGACTTTCTCAAGAGTTTGGACCACCAAGGCTTTCTCGCATATACCACGGTCCAGGTGCTGTGCTTTCGGAAATGTTGGCCTTGTAACTAAACTCAGGAAACTCTTCTTGAACATCTTTTACGTTGCTCATCTAGCCTGAAATTGAAAATTTCCAGCTCTGAGGAGGAGATCTTATCTCTCCGGGCAGGCGCCCTCTACTGCTGGCTGGCTGGGCTTGTTTGAAAGGTTTTACATTCTTAGAGCCAAAATATCCACCTGCCAACTCCACTCTTGACCCTGGTTTTGCTCTGGAAAGCAGTGAAGTCCGACTTCCCTTCCACAGAGGTGACTCTCCTGTACACAGAGCCACGCCAAGGCTGAGGCTACTACACGACACCAGACAGCCGGGAATGGCTTTGCATGTCCTCGTGTTCATCTTTAAAGAGCCAGCTAAACAGATTAAAATTCACTGTTGTTCCTAGTGATGAGGGACCTCAGGAAGACATCTTTCTACAGCCATCAGTAGGTGTTTATTTGGCAATAATTTGGTGAGTGATTTGGTAATGTCCATAATAGTGTTAAAGCACAGGGGCTTTTGGCCTTGTGGAAATTTAGTGACGTGCTTGTGCC